TGTGTGTGTGTGTGTGTGTGTGTGTGTGTGTGTGTGTGTGTGTGTGTGTGTGTGTGTGTGTGCATATATATATATATATATATATATATATATACATATATGTACAATTTTACGAGACATAAAAGACTGTAAACGCGAGTATCTTCACGATATTATGTCTTTATATTAAGCTTAAATGTATAATGACTATTTTTCATTTATATGATTTTTATCGATATGTGTTGACTTGAAGTTGATAACTTCAATATGATAAAGCATTTTATACGATATGAACATTTTATTACGTAAAAGCTAGTGCATACAGTATAATATTTCTTGTAAAGATAAATGATTTTAATAATAACTTTATATATATATATATACACACACATATATATACACATATATACATACACACATATATATATATATATATATATATATACTACACATATATATACACATATATATACCAATCACATTATACAAATATATAATATATAAATATAATATGTAGTTAAAGAGAGAGCGACTGTTAGTTAACATTCGTATAACTTGTATAGTAGAAAAGAAGGTTCTGATTGATATAATTATATTGAATGGGCCAAAGTTATAAAAGAAAAATCGTCTTTATTTAACTAATAAGTGAAATATAATAATTTATTGAATGTCGTATACATTAAATACATTCGTTGCGAATGATTCGGATTAAATTGCAAAATTATTCTTTTTTTCTTTATCGTAGGCTACGACTTTTTCATGAATCAGAAGATTTCTCTTAATTCCTTAATCATTTCTATTATGATGGTCAATGTACGCGAGTAACAGAGTAGTACATAAAACTGAATGTACATTAACATTAAGAAAGTCAATTCAATGTCTTGCCTTTCGACGGACTTTCCTCGAGAATGTAATCTCCTCGCTGAAGTTTCGGATGAAATTCTACAGGATCGGTAACTTGTTTTCATTTGTCTAGAAAATAGTAGTCGAGATTGTATTCTCTTGTACTGGCTCAAGTGCCCGTGACAGCAAAGAAAGAACAAACAAATTCTAAAGACAACAAATTATTGTATTTCATTAAGCCAAATAAGACCATAACGTATTGTATAATTTACAAGATATAGTAGTTTCTTAATTTACAAGATAAAGTATATTCTAAATGTACGAAATAAAGTTGTGTGTATTCAAAAAAAGAGTATCATCCTTAAGAATTTCTCAAATGTCAATCTTTCTTTTCGTTGTTTCTTTAGCTTTGCAGCAAGAACGAATGTCATATGTAACTTAATATACTCTTCCAAGATTTAACATCTACAGGTCTATAAAATATTTAATATTTTAAAAAGATTATACTATTTTGTATATTGATTTTATTTTATATATCATGCAATATTTTAAACATCACATATTAATTATTAATTATCTCGTAAATTTAGATTAATATCATTTTGATTCTTTTTCATTTATTTATTTATTTTTATATTTTTTCTTATATTTCTTATATTATATTTTTTCTTTTATTAACATAATAATAATAATTTACGAAAATTACTTTATTAAAACGTAGCATATAAAATTAATATAATTATCAGATTTTATTTCGATCCAATGATAATTTATCGATATATTTTAGACATCAGCTGATCCAACAGCGTTATTGATAAATCAACGTAAAGCATTACTGTATGTAAAACGTTATTCACTCAATAGATGGCATTCGTAGTGTTATTTATTTGATAAATAATTGTCGGTCAATTTTAAAAAAATATTATTTTGCGATATTATTTCGTGTGTAATATTGCTGTGCTAAAAAGAGTAATTATTACATTTCTATATTATTAATTTTGTAAATCTACAGTAACATTTTTATTAGAATTTGTTATTGTTTTATTAAAAACTTCTGAAATCAAATGAAAATTGAAAATAGACAGATAACTATAAACAAGCCTTTATAATGTAAGTGAAACAAAAGTGAAAGTTGAAACAAATAATAAAATTTTAAATCATTTCTTTATTTATTCAAAAAAATCGAAATTATTGATCACTTTATTTCTGTAATACATTATTATACATTATTATAAATAAATAAGATCTTTACAATGTTAATAATAAATTTTATATTATAGATGTATGTGTGTATTGTAAATATTGATAAAATTAAATATAAATCATAATTTAGATTTTTTTTATGATACTTGCGGAAATATTTTCCTATTTAATAGAACTTTAGAATTTTTGCTGATAGCTCTTTTATTTTTAAATTAAACATGAACATACATTTGATAATTCTGTCTAACCAATTTTAAAAATTTTTCTATTGAAAATTTAGAGATTCCATTTCAAAGAATCAGATATGATGTTCATCACATTATATCACATTGCCGTTTAATATCAAATTGTGACTTTGCTGTAACTTAAATAAAATAATTGTACCAAGATACAGACTATGATTATAACTTCATTATTTCTCATTAAGATAATAATCATAAAAATCATAATCAAACATAATAAAGATCATGCAAATAAAATGCAGTTTTGACAAAAATAATAAATTATTAAAAATAATATCATTAAAATAAGTTCAATAAGACTATAGTATAATGAGATGGACAATAATTATGACAATTATTAATTGTATGACTATCAAAATTTAGATAGAAGACGATCAATAACAATCTGATAAAATATGGCGCATAAATAAAAAATTTTCGATGTTAGAATCAGTCAAATTATTTGCCGAATCAAACGATCAATTCTTTCAGCAAGTATTTCTTGCCATCCTCCCTTTTCCTCCCTCTTCTCTTCCGAGTTAATTAATTTGAAACGGAAGAAAAAAGAAAGGAAGAAAAGAAAAAGTGGGATAAGACGCGACATATTTTGCGACTCCTTTCTTTTCGTCGCGGTGTCTGAGGCATGATTAGATAAGGCTCCGGTTCATAGTACGTCCGAGATGCAGACCTCATAAGAGACCGGGATGCCCGAGGCTCAGCCTCAGTTAAAGTTGCGTGTGCAAACCGACAATTAAGGACGGGACGAGCCGCTTTGAGTAGCTCCTCTGCGGATTGTTGTCAGCAACCACGTCGCCCTAATTTGGTGTATGTTTGTGCTGTTCGTTACATCAGCCTCCGACGAGAAAAGAGACTCGACTAATTTTCTTTTTTTAATCCACGGGCGGAGTACGGTCGGCTCCTACTTTAAATCAACCATCTCATCTTAATCGCGTCTTTCCCTTTCCTTTCGTTGAAATAACCGACGGTTATTTCTCAAGAACGAGGTATGAGTCCTGGATATAAGGATTTCTATCGATCGGTTAGTTATCTCGATTCGTAACCCTCTTGGACGGAATTTCTAGAGGTGAGACACTGAACGGGAGACGCGAAGATGCCCGCCTGTTCGAGCGAGAGCTCGTCCAAATTATGGTCCTCTAGCCCGCCGATGTCTCGAAGCAGTAGCGCGTCGCCGCAGCTACCTGGCACGCCGTTGTCCACGTCGCCACCCCGGATGTCGCCCGTGTCCACGCTGAAGCGTTCGACGTCGAACATCGTGTCGACGTCCAACGTGCCAATTACCATCTCTCGGGCGTCGTCAATTTCGAGTATGCCGACGGTGATACTTTCCCAAAGACGACAGCAGCAACGGCAGCAACAGCAGCAGCAACAATCGTATCAGGCGGGATATTATCAGCACGGTACGGTAACAGCGGATCGTCAGAACGTTGAGCGAAGCAGCGGTTCCATACTATCGAGAATCTTATCCTGGTATTTCGGACTGTTGATCGGCTTAATTCGGGGCATCTTTAACGCCATCGGCTACATGATTTGGGCACCTACCCTCTGGGCGTCCGCCTGGGTCTGCCTGTTCTGGGTGATTCTGCAACTGCCGCTGACGGCTCTCAAGTGGTTCATTACCGTGCTGCACACCCCGGCATACGAGAGATTACGCAACAAACGGTGCGTGCTGATCAGCGGCGGTAGCACGGTGCAGGCGGTGCATCTCGCGCGTAACTTCTACAAGGCGGGCGCCCGGGTGGTGGTGTGCGAGCTCGAGGGCCTGTTCGGCCTGACAAGATTCTCCACCGCCTGCTCCAAGTACTATACGATACCGCGGCCCGGACCCAGAAACGTCGTCGAGTACATAAAGGCGCTACGGGATATCGTCCAGCGCGAACGGGTGGCCTATTACATACCGGTGAGCGCCACCAGCACCGCGTACTACGACGCCCTGGCGAAACCGCATCTGGAGATCATGGGCTGCGAGTGCTTCGTACCCGACGCCAGCGAGGTGACCGCCCTGGACGACCCGCTGGAGCTGCTGCGACGCTGCCGCGTGCTCGGTCTCACGACCCCGCAGCACTTCCTGCTGCGATCGATGCAGGATCTGTCCGCGCTCTACGAGCAGAATACGTTCCGCACCGGTCGGTACATGATGCTGGCCGCCGGTCCCGCCGGGATGCGCGATCGCGCCAAGATCCTGCTACCGCCCACCGCCAGGGAATTCCGAAATCAACAGCACGAGATCAACGAGAGGCGACCATGGGTGGTGATCCGCGATCCCGGCGGAGACCACTTCATCACCTGTACCACGCTCAAGGAGTCGCGGATCGTGGCGAATGTGACTTGCCGAGTGGACGAGGACCGGGGTCTCATACCCGAGGAACGTCCCGAGGTCACGCGGTGGCTCGAGCAGTTCTTAGCCCGTTCCTTCGGCGGCAGAATCAACGGCCACATGAGCTTCCGGTTGGCGGTGTCGGAAGAGGCGGGTGAGCTGGTGTCGATCGACTGCCGGGTGGGTGTAGGCCTGCCCTACATCTGCCACACGGGGATACATCCGCGTCTAGTGTGGAAACCCTGCCGGCACTTCTCCAGGCAGAATTCGGCGTTGCTGGGCACCCCGGATCGGCAGTTGCTCTCCGACGCCGTAGCGAGTGCTCTCAAACGACCGACCAGTGAGACCGCACCCCATCTTTTGGGCACAGTGTTGGACAAGAAGGAGTCCCTTTTCGTGTATTGGGACCCGTTGCCCTACTGCGCCTATTATCATCTGCAACTGCCATTTAGACGCGTCGCAGGCGTCATCAGAACGCAGCATAACCCACCCCTCGCGGTGGTGCAATAGGATTCTTCCCACATAAAGGGAGAATTTTTCTTGTTTCGTGTACTGAGATCCTCTCTGTCACTCCTATTATCATCTACAACTGTCCTTCGCATCGCGAGGATCGTCAAGGGGACCAGCCACCTATTTAGTTAAACTATATCACGGTCAAGAGGGTTGTTATCGATATCCGGATCTCAACGTCAAACGCGTTTTTAAAAAGAAATGCGAATGCGCCAAAGAGGAGAACCGTGGGGACGAATCCCGGACAAAATCGTACTTATTTCTTTTTGTGAGTAATTGTGTAGAGTGTGATATTATTTATTGGAGAACAATGTATCTGCGCGCGATATTCATTTCACACGCGGCTGAAATCGGCATCATCCGCAAAGAGCTACGTATCCTCTTGTTACATTTATCTTGCGTCACATTGTAACAAGCATTGTATAAGCGAATGAAACTATAATGATACGATTCCACATAGAGTGTGTGCGAAAAAGAAGAGTATATATATATATATATATATATATATATATATATATATA